ATGTTTATAATATATTATATATTTACATAGTTTATATAAATAAAAACATAAAGTATGTATATTATACATTTTTTTAATATGTATAAACATTTTTGGAAGTACATTGAGAAAAAATGAATGTCTGTGTGTGTGTGACAAAATAACAAACCAGTCAAGTCCGTAATCAAATGGGGGTACTTCTTAAAGGTACAACATGGAGTAACTTTATTCGTGTATTTAAGTTCAAGACCAGGTCTTCACTCGTTATTTGTCAGCACAGTAAAAACTCTTAATTGTTACAGAGTCAGAAACCTTCCTGGGTGTATGGTTGGATTGGAAAGGAAATGCTTTTGCTATTATGCATTACATTTATACTAGAAGGCTTGTTTGTAATAGTAAACTATTAATTATGTTTTAGGCAAGGGCTCTACATTAAAAAAAGGACAAGTGGTTGCTAATTAAAGGGCTGAAGATTAGCCTGTGCTCTACGTCATATCTCTAGGATTTGATCCTCCGTGTTAGGGGAGTGGTTGTTACTGTGGTAATTTGTGGAAAGCTTGCATGGTTGCTTCTTCTGTAGGAAGAGTTTTGAACGTAAAGACTAGACAAAGGGTGGAGAGGTGACTCTCTTTTCACATAGCAGATTTTCCTTCCTAGTAGCAGGTGTTAACCTTTTTTATAAATTAAAAACCCCCAAACTTCAGTTATCTGTTCCTCCTAGGCACACTGCATTTGCTGTGTAGAGGCTTGTACAAGGTTCTTGTATTTTTTGTTCTTCTCCAGGTGTTTAAGGTGTGAAATATAATAATGTATCTACTCAGCTGTACTTACCTCAGGACTTTGAAGCTTCATTTCCCTAAACATAAAAGTCAGTGGTGTAATTCTCCTGTTGAATTTGAATCCAAAGCTGTTAGATCAAATAAAGCATCAACGATGAGTGACATGGAGTAGTGATAGTGTAAGCTTGACTAAATCAATCAAGTCTAGTAGAAATTACCTGTGAAATATTTTAGCGTGTGCATCTGTACTGTCCATCTTTGAAACAGAAGTTTTAACACCTTTAGGTGTTTTGACACCTAATGGTTCAAAACGTTAGACTCCAATTTGACTAAACTTGCTTTATTTTGAAGATTTTTGGCTTTACAGTGCTCTCCACTTAAATAAAAACTTAGAAAAAAATCACCATGTTACAAGCAGAACAACTTGGGTTTTTAATCTTTCGTTTCCAGAGTTTCTTGAATTGAAGGCTTTACTGGTGCCCATTTCGGAGAGTGCTTGACCAATTTCTTGAATTAGCTGTTCATGTTGTATCTATATAACATAACGCGTGGTCTTTGTAGCGTGAATGATACCTCGCTGAGGACAGCCTGCTTACTGAAAGCAGCGCAGCATGCTAGTTAGCTTGCTATGTGAATTTTTTTTTCTCGGTACCCTAGCTATGGTACTACTTAATAAAGTACTAGTAGTAGCAGTAGTATCTAACTATTCTTAGATGAAACTTAGGCAATTTAAAAAATATGGAAGATTGTACACACTAATCTTCCTCATGAAGTGTGCACATTTTGACATATCTTATTCTTTAGATCTGTTTCTATGACCTTGTAGATAATTTGTAGAATATTCTAATAATCTTTGTAAGAAATCCTCCTACCCCTCTTAGCTTTTCCTTTAACTCACAGCTCGTTCCTAACAGAAAAATAGAGGACTTGCAAAAAGCCCTACTTCTTAACTAACAATATTTTGGTCGGTGGTAGTGGCGGGGAAGGAAAGGCATGAGGCAATCAGAATTGAGTTATTTTGAAAATAGTGTACACTTGAATGAGATGACGGCTACTGAGTAACAGTTATAACTCTGAGGTTTAAACTCGATTCTTTTTCAGAATAACTTGGCCATGTAGACTTAGTCTTTGTCACAAGGTGCTGTCTGTCCCGCTTTACTGAGCTAGAACTGTGGTCTTGCTAGCCAGATCTCCTCTGATCTGCAGGTAGGAAGCAGCAATCTGGGTATGTTATGTTTAAACATAAAACTGACAATCTGTTGCTGGATCTCAAACAGGGTTATCTATTTGCTTCTGAGTGGCTGTGCTGCTCTTTCAATCTAGGTAGCAAATCCTGAGGAAAACTTTCATTTTAGATATGCTTAACCCAAATATTAATTACTGTTTTCATCCTATTTGTTTGAGCAACTAGAAAGCTTTTGACAGAAGATGTAGAGGACTTCCGCTATGTTATAATATTAATACCTCATTTGTCAAAATAATGTCACTTTTTTTTTCTAAAGTGGCTAAATATATTGAACACTTCTACAGACCTAGTCATGCTAGTTGGAAATGGAGTTTCACATTCCTTTCTGTAATGCTTATATTGTAGCTTTTTAAACAGGAAAAAAATGTGTCAATTCAGCTATATAGATAACCTAACAGTTCTTCAGAACTGGGGGGAGTTCAGACTGTGTTTTTAGCAGATGTCTACTTTGCTTAGGGAAGCAATAATTAGCAATTTGAGCCAGAACTTGAAAAAGAATGGATAAATGTAATAAGTTGTATGATAAACGAAACAAAGTAATCCTAACTTCATGCTAGAGACCAAAGATTTAGTTTTCAAAAAACCCCCCAAACTGTTACTTTCAGGTTATACAAGTCACTGAGGGTTATTATGGATCATAAGACTTGCATCCTTAAATTCCTCCCTGTCATCTTTTCCTACTGCTCCACTTCTGAGCCTCAGACTGTTCATATCCAAAGGGTTACCTGGAACATAAACCAGTTAGAAACTCTGGTGGGGAGGAGGTGTCAGTTGCAGACTATTGGAGACTGTCAAGGCTAGTGTCCTCTGTTGACTGAAAATATTACTGCCCCGTTAGTTGGAGCTTACTAAGACCCCTATCTCTTTGTCCATGTAGTAGTTGTTCCGAATATCCATCTAGATTAATTGAACCTCCATATTTAATGGCTGTGAATTCATATGGCTTGCATGGGTTAAGGAGTACCAGGATAAATACCCAGACACTGACCTTGAACTTCTTGCAGAAATAGGTAATGTCCTTAACCAGCATAGCTATTTCTGCAGTGAGTTTCAATCTCTAGCTTAAAATGATTGAATTATTGAAGTGAGCATCCTAGACTTGGTGTGAATTGGTAAGTGTATAAATGCCTTTCCTGTTTCAGCAACATAATGTGGTGTCAGAGGACTGTATTTCAGTGAATACTGCCACCTTCTTGTTTTCCATACTTTGTATTCTTGAGTTGTTCTAATAGGTTTAGGTGAACTTCAATTTTTTTTTTTTTTTTTCTTAAAACAGTGCATCTGAAGGTTGTTACTCGTTGTGCACACCTAGGTGCCATAACTTACTAATTACTTTTGAAAAGGGGTTGTTGCACCTGCAGTAGGTTACTGTAATTGGAGGCTCCTGGGAACAAAAAATGAACAGGATTTTTTGCAAGATATGTAAAAAAGGAGTGGATAAGCATGACATACTGTAACAAAACCCATTCAATTGCTGTTTTAACATAGACTAACAAAGCAGCTTATTACAGAAACAGCAATTCTCAATATGCCAATGTGTACAATGGAAACTTCTCTACTGTTTTTCTTTCACTCTTAGAGGGTAGTGCCTACCAGCATTGAAATGGTTGTCAGCTGAATTTGCTATAAAGTCTTCCAAGTACAAAGGAGTTAAAACTGAAGCTTTAAAAAAAGAGAGGGGAATTCAAAGGGAAGATAATTCTGTCTGTTCACTGGTTTTCATGCAACTTCATTTTGAACTGATAATGACTTTTAATAATAGGATTATTGGAAGTATCTATTCCAAGTGAAAGTATTTGCCTAAAAATTAATTTTTTACTTTTCTGAATAAGTCTTCATTGGAAGGATATGTGCTTATTTGTAATATAGGCCTAAATGTTCCTAACTTTCCATTTGTCTGAATCAACAGTTTGTTTCTGCATAGAAGGAACGTGTTAATGAAATTGTTTGATGTTAAACCTCCCTTTCTCGTCCTTGCACTGGGATAGGGCTGTTAATATCCTTTATCAGGTCATATTTCAAGTGACGTGATAATGGCTCCCAATTCCCACTCCTGCTCACCCCCCACCCACAGGCACACCACTTTAAGCAGCATGTCTCAGCTTGTGTTTTGATCCTTCCCTTCTTCTGTTTCTCCTAGATAAGTCCTTTCGTTTTTACCTCATCAGTTTTTTAAATGTACCAGATGGGCTGATGTTCGGAGGGTGTGGGCGATAACGTATTGTGGGTTAAAAGGCAGCAAAGATTCCTTAACTGGTGATAGTTTGAAGCAAGAGACTTGCAGTACTGCTCACTGTTAACTTTTGTTTAGTTGAGAAGATGTTATCAAGTACTTCCATAGGGTTTTATTCTTATTAGAGTAGAAACTCATTCCAGTTTGGTCTGTTGGCAGTGTTCTTGTTCAGTTCATGGTGAAACCAGTTGGAAGTGAAAGAAACCAACCCTGAACCTCAGAAGCCCGATCCAACTCCAAAATTAGCACTTCCTTGGATGAGGGCTGGGTTAGATGGTTGTCACATGTCTTGATCCTAAGAAATGGGTGGCTTAGATCCCTTTTGCAAGCTTAGATGCTACTCGAAGGCAAATTGATAGTACCTTGCATTACAGCCTTACAGTTGAAACTTCAAATAAGGGCTTCAAATAAAAAGGCATAAAAGCAAATGCAATGAAACAATTTTAAATATTTTTTAAAAACTATTTATAATTTATGGAGTGGAAAATTGAAAAGTTGTTCTAATAAAGACCCGTTCTTGCAGGCATATAACTTCAAGGGACTGATGGTCCTTATTTAAATAGCATGTAATTGCTGCTTAAGTAGGCTTTTTGACAGTACTTTGTCAAAATACTAATAAACTTTTTCAACTTTTTACAGGTGTGTACAAAGTAATATTGTGTTGCTTACTCAAGCTTTCAGGAGGAAGTTTGTCATTCCAGATTTTATGTCATTTACTTCACATATTGATGAGTTATATGAAAGTGCTAAAAAACAATCTGGAGGAAAGGTAACCTGTTTGTAAATTCAACTTCCAACTTCTATAGACTTCTTGAGATTATCTAAATATATTTGTTAAGTAGCCAGATTTTTCTTAACATTTTTAGCAAAATGTTAAACTGATAACTTGATAAAATTGTTTCGGAAGTTCAATTATGTCTGCAACTTGTACACTGTGTTAGAAATAAAGCTCCTTACCTCTAACGATCTTTTACAATTTTGAGGTTATAAAGGGAAAATAGTGTTGTTCTTTCTTTATTTTACATAAACTATAAAACTGCTATATAATTTCTCAGACTAAGCTTAGTCTATAAAAGAATTATGCTACTCTACACAACTGGCTGGGTTCTGTGACAGAAATAGTTGTCAACACTATATCTACGTTAGTAATTAAAGTTTATTCTAATGCTTATTTTCAATAAATTAATTGAAAACTCCCAAACTTTATTGCAAGCTAAAATTTTATATGCTTTGAAAATGCTAAACATGCCATAACATAGAACAGATGCCTCTTAGAATGTGCTGAAGTTTGTACTTTCATTGAACAAATACTTTATTTGATAATGATCTAGTGAATATAATAATTTGTAATGAAGTTTTAGATATACCAGGTGATTATTAGTACAGTAATTCAGTTGTAACTTGTGTATCCTTTCCATTGGCATTTATTTTAATTAACATATGTTAACATATAGTTAAATATTCTGGATGTTGTAATGTCTCTGTTTTTATTTCACATTGTGATAGGTTGCTGACTATATTCCACAACTGGCCAAGTTCAGCCCTGATTTGTGGGGTGTGTCACTTTGCACAGTGGATGGACAGAGGTATATTCTAACTTGTAGATTTTACTGTTTCAATTATTTAAACTGTCTGACATATTGCAAGGAGCAGGGAGTTGGACTCGATGATCCTTATGGGTCCCCTCCAACTTGAGATATTCTATGATTCTATGATATACAGCACTTCATGGTATCTCATGGTTTAGTAAAGAAAAAGCTTTATTGGAGTTGTTTAAGAAACGAAATCCACATGGTCATCTTTCTTAACATTTTTTCAACTTCTCTGTTGAAGCTGAATTATTTTGCTATTATTGTAAAATATTGTTTAAATAGTATTTGTAAATACTATATTTAAAGCTAGATTATATTGTGCTTATGATCCAAACACAGTAATGACGCTGTGGGTAATTTCAGTGATTACCAAAGGACAAGATAGAGACAATGCTTACATAGTATTAATCTGTGGAAGTTGAAGAGCTTTGTCTAATAGTACCAATGTCTCAAGCTATATTGTTTTTTCTGTAAGTCACAGTAGCCTTAAAAGTTAGTTCCTTTTCTACATTTTAATGTTCTTACTGTAGCATTATTATAGGATCACTATAGGTCACTGAAAAAATTCAGATCCGTATTCTTTAAAAAGAAAATGAAGATGTGGAAACTGGACAGAACTTAACATGATTTTGCTTTTCAGGTTTATTACACTTTCTCCTGCAAGGGTGTATGTAGGTCTTCGATATAGCTAGAGTGATTTTATTTTTATTGAATAGTGACTCAGAGTAGCAGAGACAGTTACGAGCCCTAACACTACCACACTCACACCATCTAGCTGAGAAGTAAGGTGGACTATTCTGTGTCCAGCTTTGGGACTAGACAATGTGAGATAACTCATCAGCTTGCATGTCTCTGCTGTCCTGCAGTTTGATATAGTCAGACTGCATATTCTGAGTACCATAATTTTTAGGTATTTGGTGTATCCCAAGTGAATGAGGCATTCTTGAGAGAGCATCAGACTTGCTTACAGTGACTGTGGATTGGGGATCATTTTAATGTGATCTGTTATGATCTGTGTGTTTATTTCTTATTAGCCATATACTCTATAACCTCTAGAGGAAGAGCTGTTCAAGTGAGTTGCAGTATTTTTCAGCTCCCTGCTTAAGTGTCTGAATTACAGTTTATTCATAGTAAAACAGCTTTAAAAGTAAAAATGTTCTCCTTTTTGAATATTTTAAATTAACATTTTGCTTTGTTTTGGGTATTATAACATGTGCTAATGAAAGTTTTTATAATGCTAATTTTTGTAATGTTTAATGTGGTGTAATGTTAGTTTTTATAATGCCAAAATGGTTTTGTGAGTTTCTCTGAAACCTTCTCACATTTTCTGCAAAGAAAAGAAGGAAATACATTTCTGATTTTGTCATCAGACAAGTGGTTTCTTGGAGCCTTTTGCTCTAGATGGGGCATATGCTGCTTGTATGAGTCATTTGTCGATGCAGTCTGACTTAGATGTTGAAAGTAAACTTCCCAAAGGATAGCATTTTATAATTTGAATAAAATACCTACGGCATTATCAAAGGGAATGCAAATACAGCTATTTGATTTCTGCCCTCAAATTTCAAAGCTGAATTGGATCTCATCTTTGTTTATGTAGACATAAGTATGTACAGTAGCTATATTCAGGTCAGCTGTACCTTGCTGAGTATGTGGTTTGCAAGTAAGTGACTGTTATGCTTACCTTATGGAGGCAATTGTTAAAACCTTTCAACCTTTTTGTTCCGTTCTTTAAAATGTGAGTTAATAATATGCTTTCGGGTTTTTGGGTGTTTTTGTTAATAGTTCTTATATGTTGAAGAATAAATGAAGTATTTGACACTCTACTTGCCACAGCTGGCAAACAGGAAATTTCAAACCTTTTCATCTGTGTTTTTCCCAGGCATTCTGTTGGTGATACCAAAGTTCCATTTTGTCTTCAGTCCTGTGTAAAGCCCTTGAAATATGCTATTGCTGTTAATGATCTTGGCACAGAGTATGTGCACAGATATGTTGGTAAAGAGCCTAGTGGATTAAGATTCAACAAATTGTTCCTGAATGAAGATGGTAAGAGATACATAATATTTAATAATGCAAATACTCAATTTAAGAAAATGACAAAACAAGCTACCCAAGTTTTTTCAGTCTTCTCATTTTACTGTATCCTCTTAAGTCTTATTAAAGTGTCCCAAAATATTTTGCCATCAGCAAGGTAGACTTATCCTTTGTCACTCACTTTTGCCTAATTTAGAATGCTAGTAAAAGATGCTTTATTACTTCTGTTCTATTTGCTAGTATCCAGCTGTAGAAAAAACGAAGTATTTTGATAATGCAGGTAATTGAAATGTATATTTATTTAGTTGTGTTGGTAGCAAGTGTTCTTTAATCTTACCTTCTGTAAAGTGACGGTGAAAGAATCAAAGATGTTAAATTGATTTTAAGAAACATGTATATCACTTCCCTTCTCAGCCCTCTGAGAAGCAGGTGCTGGTGCCAAATGCCAGTGCTGGCTAGTTTCCAGAAGGCAAAATTGAACACATCTTCCCACAAATTATTCTAAACTGAATTTGGCTACTGATTCAAAACAATGTTTTTATTTTACTTTTTTATTCCTGTGGCAGGAGTGCTGTAGCAAGAATTTCTCGTATAGTACTTATCTAGATTATTTCTTTTTCATATTGTATTAATTCTCAAGCATTAAAATGTTATTTTTAAAAACATTAGGGCAAAAATCTGAGAAGGATGAGTCATGTAGCCGTAGAGGAAATACTGGATGTTGTCTCTGAAACACAAATGTTTCTTCTAGCGGATCTTTCTCAGTAAGAGAACAGACAATGTTTCTGTTGCCATGGTATTGCAATTAATATTTAATTAACAGCATAAGGCTTGGATGATATTTTTGTCAAGGACTGTATTGAATTCTGACTTACATATCTATATTATTAATATAGAGATGATACATAATTATATTTGGTACATACCTTTCTTTCCAAACTTACAAATAAAATAGATCTTGACAATTTATTTCTTCTTTTTTATTATGTTAGTAAGCGGTAATGAAATACCAACATGCGTATATATTGCCAAGAGGGAATTAGCATTTTGTCAAGCTTTGCTGTCTTGTTTTTGCTGTCCTAGTTTTTCCAAATACAATGTTGAACAATATGGGGAAGACTGCCTTTTATGTCCTAAGAAAGCTACATATAAAAAGAAGTTTTGATGGTGCTGAAAATTGCTCGTTTTTTCCTTTGGATCAGTATAGGTGTTCTGTTTTTTTATTATTATTATTATTATTTTTAATAACAGAAAGTATAGTAGTTATTTTCTTCTTTGTTTTGCTACTTTTAGAATTGAACTATGAGAGAAGATGAAGTGTTAGGCTGTGGTCTTTTGTTATATTACTGTTAGACTTAAAGAGTGTTTATAAGACTGTTATGCAATAAAGGAATTGGGATTATTGAAAGTTTGACCAGTGTGCATGAAATTAATAGAGAGAACTAATTCACATGATAGAAATTTTATTTTTTAAGTATGTGCTTGTGCGGCTGATATAACTGACATGAGAAAAATGTGTTAGAACTAACCTGAACAGCCTTTTATTGATACAGTCTGTAAATGAAAGACTAAAACAGAAGGTAGAAGCCTAATAAATAGGAACATTTCAGTTAAAGGGAGAGAAAGGGAAGTTGAGTTTTTGTGAGTGAAGGAAGAAGAGGGAAGAAGGGATTACACTTTACTTGTAGATTTAAATTGATAGATCCAAATTGAAGTTTGTATATGCAGAGTATTTGGCAGCTTGAACATACATAACTACTTTGAAGATCAGATTTGAAAATAAAAAAAAAATATAGTATAGATATTTAATCTGTTTGCTTTCTAATTATTCTGTGTCGTGGTTTAACCCTAGCCAGCAACTAAACACCACACAGCCACTTGCTTACTCCTCCCCTGCCTCCGGTGGGATAGGGGAGAGAATTGGGAGAGTAAAAGTAAGAAAACTCATGGGTTGAGATAAAGACAATTTAATAATTGAAATAAAATAAAGTAAAATAGTAGTGATAATAATAACAGAAGAATATACAAAGGAAGTGATGCACGATGCTGTTGCTCACCACCCGCTGACTGATGCCCAGTCAGTCCCCGAGCAGTGATCACTGCCCCCCAGCCAACTCCCCCCAGTTTATATACTGAGCATGACGTCATATGGTATGGAATACCCCTTTGGCCAGTTTGGGTCAGCTGTCCTGGCTATGCTCCCTCCCAGCTTCTTGTGCACCTGACAGAGCATGGGAAGCTGAAAAGTTCTTAACTGAGTGTAAGCACTACTTAGCAACAACTAAACTATCAGTGTGTTACCAACATTCTTCTTATGCTAAATCCAAAACACAGCACTATGCCAGCTACTACGAAGAAAATTAACTCTATTCCAGCCGAAACCAGGACATTCTGATGTTGTTGAAGTTCATATTTGTAATCAGGATTTTATGAAGTGATATGCAGGTATTTGAAAACTGATTAGATGTGCATCTGAAGCTATTTTTTTATACTTATTACATTAAAGATTCCTAAAACAGGGTGTTCTTTCATTTCTTTGTTTATAGTATTGAGACTTAATCTGGAAAGAATGGAGAAAATTACTAGGCAATTCTAAATCATAGCCAAAAATGCCAACTTAAACCAAAAAAGTGTTACTAAGAATCATGTACGTTTTGAGTAAGATCTGTGCTGTGCAATGGAAACTCGGAAACTTCTGGAGCCTTGTGAATATTCAATTTTAAAACTTTTTGTCAAAAGGAACATATGGCCTATCGAACAATTCCAGATTTCTGGAGGACTAAAGCAATTCCGATGTTAATTAAAAACAGATTATTTTAGCTGATTGAAGTAGATCAGGAATTTTACATAGTAAAATGTGTCTGAAATAGGCATTGTCAGGAATAATTTTTATGGCCATTGAGCAGTTTGCAGGTTTGCAACATGTCTGACAATACTTGTATATATGTACAGTTAGTATCTCTTATCTATACATGGGACCTTCTCTTGATGATAATTATTTGTAGAATTAGTCCAGTAATAGAATTGTTTGTAGAACTTAGTCCAGTAATAAATGCTGCATTGTAATTGAATGAGGGATTGCCAGGAAACTGTTTATTCTGCTGAAGGATTTCGTTAACTAAAGATGGAATTCTTTAAGTTTTTGCATTGGACAAACACATTTTGATGTCATTTCAGAAAGAACTTGCCATGATTAACTGTTCTGTGTATTAAAATGTCTGTATTGTGTATGTGTAGCAACCTCTGCTTTCTGTGCTCGAAGGCTGCAAGCCAGTTGTACAAGAAAGACCTAAGGCCAATGATGGACCAAAAAGGTCAGAAAAACTGGCAGAGGAGCAGCACTGTAATTTGAGCTTATTAGGGGAAAGGTCTGGTTCGCGTATGGCATAATTGCATGGCAGGTTGCTGGAGCAATCATGCTAATTGTCAAGCAGTTTTGAGGTATTAAAAAAAATACATGTTTTTCGCTATTCAGTAGTGATCTCCAGTGGAGAGATTTTTAGGTAACTAAATAAATTATATTTTCTTTTATTTTGAATTTAGATACACCTGTTAAATATATTGCAGTTTTCTATGTAAAAGGCTGTTCTAGACAAGTATCTCCTTCCCACAGGAGAAACAGAGCACTGTATCGGAGAAGAATATATTTCCTATTCAGAGGCTGTTAGGTGGGTTGTTTATGCAAGAGGCAAATCGTTGAATCAGTGCTAGACTTAATCAGGGCACCCCAGTTAAAGTCGAAGGGTTATTATGACTTGTGCTTTTCATTAAGGATAAAAAAATGAATTTACTCCAACGTATAATGAGATGATACAGCAATATAAGAGACTTGCAGAGAAGCTGTGTAAAAGATTTTTTTCAGTCTGAGCAGATCATTGCCTTTATTATTTGATTATATAGAGAGAGTGTATGTGTGTGGTTTTGGTTTTAGTTATGTGTGTCAGTTAGCTTTGCAGAGTTTGATACCTCTTTCTAAGATTAATAGATGAGTTTGTTCACCTCTTTGGCAAACTGTTGCAATTATAGTATCAGTCTTCATTCCTTGTCATTGTATGATGCGGAATCCCCTTGCTGATGGCACCCACTGTGAGGTAAATCAGTAGTTGCTGCCGCTTTAGGAGGAGACCGATGTATCACTTTCCTTAAAAATTGATGTAGTGTCAGAACCTATACATCCCTAAGAGGTGAAAACATACCTGGGAATGGAAGTATTATTGATGGGAAAGAAGAGAAAAATATCTCTTCTTTGAAATTAGCAGGAACCTTTCAGAATGTATGATTTTATTTAAGCAGTCTGGCCCTTAAAAAAGGCCAGTATATCTTAAGTCTGTGGAGAGGTTCTTCATTGTAGAATGGAATAGAATAATTCAGCTGGAAGAGACCTATAACAATCATCTAGTCCAACTGCCTGACCACTTCAGGGCTGACTAAAAGTTAAAGCATATCATTAAGGACATTGTTCAAATGCCTCTTAAACACTGACAGGCTTGGGCCATCGATCACCTCTCAACGCGCCTGTAGCTATTGTGGCAGGATAGAAGGGTTATCTGTCAATTAGAGATATCTATGTGTGGGAAGTGTTTGGGTAGCATTATCTGGTGCTATCCAGGTAATAGTGAAAATTGCTTTCCTGGGACCTGGATACCCTGACAGGGTTTATTCTGCTTAGAAGAGGCAGCAGCAGCGGTGGATTAATGGAAGGTGTCCTACTCAGCTCGGTGATGTGCTGGTGTTAGGCAACAGTAGGAAAGACACTCAGAGAAGAGCTTTTGTTAGTGTGTGGTAGGCTGGGCTGCTTTACCTCCCCTTAGCTGTTAAGGCTCCAACAATGATTGTTCCTTGTTGACTCGTCAAGGGGGGCGGGACACAATACACAACTTCATTTCAGAAGCACGTTCAGGAAGGTCCATGTTTCCTTTCATCAGAAGGTTCTGGCCATTCTTCATATGAGGTCAGCACATCGTGGTGTGTTGGTTGTAAAGTGGCAAGAACTGGTACATGTAGTTTGAGATGTTAAGCAGTGAGAGACAGGAATCTTCAGAGTAGAGGAAAAGGTAACCAAGAATGCCTTCACTTGACATTGAAGGTAAGTGGTGGCAACTTCCAAGGAAGTGAGATGCAACAGAATTTCTGAGGGTATATTCTGTTGTGTGGACTCACCACATTGATAAGATTTTGAGTTGGTGAATGCTAAATAAACATTACACAACCTTTTTATTCAAATATACATGTGATGTGGGGTTTGGGAATTTTTTTTTTTTGCTTTGTACTGTGTGGCAGATTGAAACCATAGAGATGTGCAGAAGAATCAAGAGGAAAACATTTATAAAAATACTTTGAGTGGGTTGTATATGATTAAGTCGTTAACATGTTTATGGACTAGAGTGATACCTGATGTTGATGAGAGGAAGCTGGAAAAAAGAGAAACGTAGCTAGGGCAAGAAATGAAGGTGACAGTGTGTTCTAATCATGAATGAGGCCAATGTTGTGTTGGATTATGTGTCCGGCATTGGGATCCCTAGTTCAAGGAGAATATTGAAAAACTGGAAAGGGCTCCAGTGGAGGGCTGCCGAGGTGCTGTGGGGTCCAGGGCACATAACTGCCAAGGATCAGTTGAAAGGGGAGGTTGGGGGCTCCCCTGGGAGCCACTTAAAACTCTTAAAGAGCAATTGCAAAGGTGAAGATTTGTGTAACTCTTCTTGGTAGTGGCAGATGATATAGAATGGCCAGTGGCCCCACACTGTGGCTTGGGAGGTGCAGGTTGGATGGTAGGGTAAACTCCTCATCTAGGAGGAACAGGATGCCTGGAGAGGTAGAGGATTTGCCATGTTTGGAGGTTTTCAAGACTCAGCTAGATAAAGGCATGACTGACCTGATGTAACTTTTAACCTTGGCAATAGTCTTGCTTTGAGTGGGAGGGTGGAGGAGGTGACCTCCAGATGTCCCTTCTGACCAGCAGTCTGTGATGCTGTGAACAGTCATTTGACTTGTAACACCTTTGACTGGTGGTCAGGTTTTTGGTCCCTAAGGAGAGACAGAGTTAGGAAGCTATGGAAATGCTACATTTTTGCTACTTAGAATCTGGTTTTAATCAAAAGTCAAATATATTTGACCCAGGTTACTTGTGTTACTGACATGAGTAGAACAGGATGTTCGATGTAGGTAGATCTTAAGTACAATCAGATGAAATGAGAACAATTCACGAGTCTGTTGCAGAGAGATAAGGAATAGCACTAACAACTTTAAAAATAGCATATAGACATTAATTTTGTATTTTAGAGGGGCTTCACTTTTTTGGACAGAAATTTTAGGGGAGCTTCACTTTTCTGGACAGAAGGTATTGGTCTTACCTTTTCACTAATAAAATAACTTGATTTTTTTTTTTTAAAAGTTCCTTTTAATACTGACTTTCTGAAAAATACTAAAAGGAACTTGAGATGATTAGTTTTTGGAGATTATCTGATAGTCATAGATGGCTAAGTGCCATTGACCATGACCAGTGTAATTTTCATGGGCAAATACATGTGTCTGTATGTGCTGTGAATATCAGACTAATCTCCAAAAAGCAATCATCTCAAGTTCCTTTTAGTGTGCATGTTTTATATATATAAAAATAGTGAACACTTTGTGTGGTTTTTTTAAATGATTTTTTTTTTTTCAAATCTGGAGATAAACAAAGTAACAGCAAATAAAAAGAATTCAAACCTCTCACAATATTAAGGTGTTGAGAAGTGATTGAGATTTTCAGAAAGAACCAGAACTCCCCAAAAGTCAACATCGTAGTTAGAAGGCACAGCAAAAATGTTCGTTTAAAAAAAAAAGCTAACTGCAGAAGGTAGATGTTGATGAATGAAAACTTGTATTTGGGAAAAGTAGACAGCTGATAAGGAAAGCTTTTTTGGAAAAAGAAGAAAAAAAAAAAGGTGATTCATTCACATGAGCAGCCAAGAATAACTGGGAATGCAGAAATACTCTTAATATGGAGATTAGCGATAAAAAGGAAAACTTAAGCGTAGCAGGTGTATGCAAGTCAATTATAAAGTAAGTTAAATTCTAGTGAGGATGAGTAAATTGTTATTTGTATTTCAGCAGCTGCCAATAGAAACCTCTTATTCTTAAAAAGAATCAGGATTTTGTATTTATGTACAGCGATAAGGAAATTCAAGAACTGGAATTCTCTTTTATTTTGAAGGACTTGTTTGAACACTTCTAAAATCACTGAGACTTGGTAACTTGGAGAAAAATGGGAAATTCCCTTAGGGTTTGTTCCACTTGCAAATGTTGCATTGATCAAATCTTGGAACACTGGAGAGGATTGAAAATTTTCGCAGAAAGAAATTATGCCAAACTGATTAATTTACTGGACTGTTACGTAGCGTTAGGCTGAGTTGTTTTAAGCTGTAAAATACTTTGCTCAGAATTACAAAAAATTGTGTATAATGTAGGATTACAGGATTTTTAATTTAGGATTATATTCCATGATTGTAGCTTTAAGTCATACATTAATGTTTATCATTTTACACTTAAACACTTGACTGGTTTTGTTTGACAAATGTGTCTTGGGATATATTTGTAATTGAAAACTTTATTTCACAGACAGGCCTCATAACCCTATGGTGAATGCTGGAGCAATTGTGATCACGTCTTTAATCAAGGTAAAAAGTTCATTTTCAGTTTCTCTCGGAGTATTTTAATAGAACGTAGAAAAAGTATCTTGTACAGATTATGAACTGTTTTCATTTTATGTGTGCAATATCTGATGGCTGTTTGCTCATTAGCAGGTAGACAAGCTCTGATGTTTTGGAAATAGTAACACTTCCAAACAAATGTGATACTAGACTAGCAATTTCTAAAAAGTAACAGTGCAGCTGAAAGACTTTTTCCTTAATGTTTTTACTTTTATTTTGTTTCCTTCTTTAACTGCCCAACACTTGATAGTCTCTTGAGGGAATTGCCTCACACTTGTTAAATGCTAAGAGTATGTCCTCAAGAATGTTCTTTATAGCACTCAGAAACATGTTTCTGAATGTCTAATGCTCTTATGTAGCATAAAGTTACAACAGTATTTCTTGCTGTGCAGAAGAAATGAAGATACTATAATTTGCACAGGAACAATGCAGCTGTATTCGCATGTCAGTCTTAATACTGAATTTGTCCACTATTAACATACTGTACAACTAAATTATGTTAACTTCTGTGTTACGTAGTTTCTGTTGGAGTGTTAAATGCACTTTCTTAAATAAGTGTGTTTGGAAACAGTTACCCATATTTTGCTGTGTAAATGACTTCAGCTGAATAATGACTTAACATGTTTAGCCCATGATCTTGTGACTTTTGGAAAGCTGTATTTTATTTTTTCCTAGAATAGCTGTATATATCTCTTGAAGTTGTAAATGGCATAAATTCCATGTAATGCTAATGTTTGCCAGATACTTCACTTGTATTTTCTGCCTTTTTTTGGTAGCCACTGGTACAAAAAATAATTTTTTTCTTCTTTTTTTTTTTTTTAAGAAAAATTGTGGGGAACATGTCAATCCCCTGAAGTTTTGAAGTAAAAAACTTAATACTGTGACTTCAGAGGTCTAAAAAACTTGTTTACAGCCTTTGTCTTGGTTATGTTTCAAAGTCCATTAGCTACAGTGTGTTTCCTGCCTCCTATTTCCAAATTGTTGATTTTAAAATTACTTAGATCATGATTTTCTGTTATTTTATATTTAAAGAAGGTGTAAGAACTCCTGCTTAAAGACATTTATCTTTAATAGCTGTAGGTGAAAGAAAATGGCCTTAAGTATGACAGGTAAATTTATTCACATTTAATATTTTTTTAAAGGTTGACTGAGCATTGAAATTCACTTGGATAATAGTGAATTTTAAAATCTGACTTAACACATTTGTCTGAACTGTCAAAATGTTAGTCCTACTACAACATGCCCTACTGGTCATAAGGCAAAACACAAGCATGTGCCTCTTGCAGAAGGCACGTAGTTCTTGATAAATTGTGTACTTCTAAATAGATAACATGGATTTGTTTACTGCATGCAACTGTGATAATTGTTAGAAGGTTGGGGGATTGTTTTTGCTGGGTGTTTATTTAATTTTTTTTTTTTTTGCTGTAATGTTCTTATGAAGCGTATTGCATTGCACTGATGTTTTTGCATGTGGTAACTGCACGTCTAATGGACGCATATCATACTTATCACACTCCATTATTTGTTTTCAGTGTGATTAAAATGTAGATTATTTTATGTACTGCTTCCACTAAGATACCACTTATCATTTGACTAACTAACCAAACTAAACATACTCTGAAGAAAATTACATAGAGGGTCACAGGTACGAAGTTATTTAATAATTGTATTTTTTGTGAAATAACTTCTTTGCAGTCCGCAACTTAACAATATTACTACTAACTATTCACTGATTTAAGTAATTCACATTTATATTTGATCTAATCTAAGACTTACTTTTTTTTTCTGGAAAAGGTGGCTTCATTAACCCATGCTTTGCCCTCAGTTCCTCTGCAATCATTCTATTTATTTAAGGTGTTTCTTGCATATCTTGAAGACTCTGTATGGCTCCTAGAGTCCAAGAAAATTAAGGGGTTATTAAACATGGTCGAAGTCACTATGTATGACAGATTTATCTAATGATAGCATGTTGATAGCTATGGAGAGATTGTTGCTGTATTTCAGTGTTAAGAATGCCTTTACCTCCTTTGATATTCATTATTTTATCTCTTTCTGAGAAATTGATATAAGTCGTCTTTCAAAGTCTGCATACATTGTACTGAATTCAGCAGCTGTTAGTATACATGATTTTGCACACAAGTGCCCTTAGAATCTGACATAAATTATGATTACTTGTGGATAAGAGATGGTGCTTGGAGTAGTCTTTTTGTCAGAATATGTAGTATGTTAATATTTTAGGGGGAAGAAAGGGCTCTCAGCATCACATACCCACTTCTGACTGCCCTAAGAATTTGGTATACGCACCTTGGAACAGAGCATAGACCTAAACTGTAATGTTTAGTCTTTGCTATTCATAATAATAAATAATAAAGCGTATGTGCATGTTAAGTTGTACATTTATTTGGCTTACTTAGGCATGACTTTATCATACTTTTACCAGCTTCAACGATTCTCCTACCGTCATGTGCTTGGAACTACGATGTATTTATGTTTTGGTGCCTCAACTCATGGCTCTGTTCTAAGTGTACTTGCACTCCACAGACAGTTCCAGCAATTTAAAGCATGTATCTACAATAAAAATGCTTGAGCAAAAGGACATCCTGTGGGCCAGTTTTAATGAAATCAAAATTTTGAAAAACCCTGAAGACCTTTTCCCTTGTGTATAATTGTACAGCCATTTGCCTTTATTACTAATTACAGAAATTACGTAGTTACAACAATTTTCAAAAGATTGTTGTCAAAAGAAAATTGTAATGGCAATTACAGGAGTTTGTGGAAAAGTGATATTAGATAAAACGGTAAATTCTTCCATGATTCCAAGGAAATTTAGGTACTTGAAAGAAGAAGATTCAGCTCCTGTACAGATTCAATACAGATTCAGTGTTCAGTAACCATGCAGCTTTCTGCACATCACATTGACTGGAAAAAGTTTGTATTGCCTGTAGTACAGATAGATTTTAATGCTTTGATCTGTTTTTTTCTTAAACCTTAAGCTCAATTCTCAAAGCATGTCAACTCCAGGAATATCAGTGGTTGTGTCAGCAACTGCCCCCTTCCACGTATCTTTACTGGCTGGGGAGGGCAGTCTGTTAGAGATGCAAATGAGATGAGGAGGAAGGGTCCAGAGTGAAATATGTAGAAGGTGGCAGATGGCTGTGGAAGGAATTCAAGATTCCATCTGTAGGTAAAAGCTTTCCTACTGTAACAGCAAAGGTTTGGGCAAATACAGGGGATATAAATCCTGTAAGTGCTGACAACCACATGCACCATCTTACACAGACAGTGACGATAGACTTGAATGCTTGGTGAAGGGAGGTATTCTATGCTCATGAATCAATGTGGGAAGCATTTAGACATGTTGGGGAGGCATAGCAATATTCATAGTCCTTGCAAAAAATTTGGTGTACGAGAAAATGAAAATGCTGATCTTACTGACCCTGAAAAAACTTAATTCGATGAAAGCTTTTCTTTTTTGTACAAAAGATAAAGAGGTGTATCTGATACACTTCTGGGCTTTCTAAATATGCTGATAAGTCATAAAATAAATGAGGCAGAGAGTGCTGGAAAAACCTGTCCAGCTGTGCCAAGGGTCTGTTAGCTGTCAGGATACAATTAATTAGGAAACCTGTACAGTTATGGTCTAATACTTGAGGGATGGGAAAATGCATGGTTTATTGGCTTTATTTGGCAGTATAGTTACAATAAATAGTACAGATTTAGCTTAATTGCTCTATGCTACCCACTCCAGTTATCCTTCCTGATAGACTGTTGTGTAAATGTACATACATACGACTTTAAAACGTGTTGGCATTGTGATCTTCTGTGCTAGATACTTTTGGTGAAGTTTCCTCTCTTCCTAGGTTATTCATTTTCTTGTAGTAACTAATTTTGGATGGAACGTATGTTCAAGTTATTCTGCACTTGCTTTTTATTATAACTCAAATGTATTGGATGTTATTTGACATAGAATATGTAGTAGTGATACTTGAAATGACATGTATTTAGTGGTCATATATGCAAGTATTTAATACCTGAAGGACACCAAAATAATTCTTATATGTGTTTGAAATAGTAATAGTATTGGTCTTAGTGGGTCAAATACTGTCTGTGACAGTGTGCTCTCAAGTATTTCAGAGCTGAAAATGGCATGCTAAGCAGTCAAGACACCAGTTCTCACAGAACAGACCCAGATTAACAAATAAAATTAAAAACATGTGTAAGTACAGAAAACTAAAATAAAGATATTAATATTTAAGTTAATGTAAAATGCACAAATGTAAAAGATGTTTTCCTGCATTCTGACGTAGTGTTACAAATTTTTTTTTTTCTGGATGTTTTCATCACAGTATAGTGTTAGGTTATAAATTTGGCTTAAAAGAATTCCAGAAATTAATTTTTAAACAATCTTTTCTTATTAGAAGATTATAAACTTCTTGTGATTCAGATGTTTTTATTAGCGTGGCTTAGATTCAAAATTGAAAAATTTTTTCAACAAGAGACACATGGTAAGAGCTTATGTGGTCTAATCGTATAAACACTGAATGTTGATCAATGAAAAGTGGCTAATATTAACTACTTTTCTAATAAATATTGCCTAATTTTGTTGTTGTAAGCTCTGGTAAGTATCCATGGGTCTCTCCTTTCCTATGTATGTGTAGGCATGCAACCTGTGCAACTGCTTATATTTTTTCTAGTACAAATACAAATAATGAAAGTACCTTGTTTTAAAAAAACCAAACAAACACAAAAGGGAAGATCACCAAAACCTGACGCAGTCAAAAAATTCAAATTTATGATTGACAGCCATAGTGTCCATTGTGGTTTTAAGTGTTTACAAAATTGGTATTGAGCTGTCTTCTGCAAGTTTGAATTTTCTGCCTATCAAACTGCTTCAATCTTAGCATTTTCAATTTCATTTTGTATTCATTTAGAAGTGTTTTTTCATATGTATATACACACAAGCATGTATACAGTAAGTGTGTATATGAACATATGTTCCAGTAAATGTACTAAGTGTTTGTGGAGTTAGTGCATGGAATGTTTCCTTTGATGTCCTAGGCAGATGAATTGCATCTGAACTTAAATAAAAAAGTGCTTTTTAAGAAATACTGTTGCAGTGCCCCCAAGCTCATGAGCTTATACAATCAAGCTAAAAATAAGAAGCACTTGTGAAAGAACAGAAGTTTTCTTGTCTTATATGTATTTAAATTATTATAGAAAAGTTGCTCGGTATTCTTAATGTTAGGATTTTATATTTGCAATTGGATTATAATCGTAGGATGTGTGTTGCCTCTGTGTCTCTTCAGCTTTTTAGGACGAGCAGCATACCTCGGTCAGCTGCTGAAAGAGGGGAACTATATGTTGGGTTTTTTAGTCATCATCTTGTGTATGGAAGCAAAGTTTTCTGTTCTAGTTACATGTTATGTTAAATCCATACTGAGATCTTGGTCATATGATTACTTAGGCAAATATTTTAGGTACATGAGCACTCTAATTTCAGTAACAATGCTTTTGTTTGATATAAAGTACCTATACAAGTGTTTGGAACATCAAGGACTAAAAATGCATCATCTGAGTTAGTATACAGAAGATTTTCTTCCCAAAATACGAGATTAGATGTAAATTTTAAAAAGAAACCTTTTTTATAACAAGTTGATGTGGAAAAAGTTTGCATTGAGTCTTTTGCCCACCGATTTCATATGCTGCTAATAAAGCCAGGTTTTTGTTGAAGGGCTAGGAATTTTTTTCAACTGGGCAAAAAAAAAGTGAAGTATTATGTATTTATATTTTTGCAGAAAGCATGATCCCTTTCTCCCTCTTTCTTTTTTTTAACAAAAGAACTTGTTTAAATTTATTATACATGTCTAACCATACAATTATCAATGCAGCATCCCATAACTAATGCTGACCCACTTTCCCAGAAAAAGATGTTCATTGTGCATTTGAAAGGTTGAAAAGGTTTTTGTGGTTTAAATGTTGTTACATATTTTACAGCATTAGGATCTATGGAATATTTTGACAACTGCAACAGTTCAATGAAGTTGGTAATTTCTTCTTTTAATTATTTTTCATTGAACAGATTTGGAGTTAAATTTTTAAGACTTGTGTTCTGGTGTATTATACAGGAACATTTTGATGAAATGTATCATGATTTTTTATCATCTTACTGCAAATTAGCTAGAGATTATTGCTTTTAAGAGTAAGGTTATTAGCATTTAAGCATAAGGTAACCACTGGCGCATAATTTTGACAAAACAGTGTGGTGTTCCTTTCAGCTAGTGATCGTACGTGTATGACTGCACATCCTCTTGTAGATGAGCATGGGCTTCAAAGATTATCTGCAACACCCTAATCCACCTACAGAGTGGGAAATGAGACTGGCTTTACGCATTTCATTAAGTAAAATACTGGTCGATATAAAGCTTCAGTTTTTTCCAGTTCCTTCCCCATTCCCATACTAAACACAGTGCAAATAGTGTCTTGAATTGTTTGAGATATGTTAAACAGAGTTTTGCTATCTAAATTGAGTATCTTTAATATTAAAATTATTTATTAAAATACCTTCTCCAGATACATTGTTTCCACTTGTGTACACGATGCCATTGTTTTTTTAAACTTCCTCAAAAGTACTTGGCTACTTCAAAAAATTAAAAACTCCCCCCAGTAGACCACGCGCTATTTTTTACCTCCCACCCCTCGTTTAACGTTTGCTATAGGAATTTGTGAAAGTCACCTGTCAGAGACCTGTAAAGAATTAATACATCTTTAACTGGCAGCTACTAAATTTGAGAATGTTCTTAAACGGGGTGGGGGGAAAGAAGCACCAAAATAACACCCCTCCTCCTCCCCCCTTCCAAAAAAAAAACCCCAACCAACCCTAAGAATTAAGTTTCACTAGCATCCTTATTAAGTTGTATTTAGATTTTTCCTTACATTGTTAGCACAATGATGTACTCTAATCTATGATGTGAAATTCTCTTTTTCTAACTTTAATTTTTAATAGGTAGGACATTAATCAGATATTAATCAAATCAGATATTTTTTATTAAGTGCAATTATTTTCATAGTAAGGGGTAACACTTTATTTTAAGTCTTCAATCTAAATTCTTAGTATGGGCACTAGCCATGGAAATATTTTAACTTCAGTAGCCTGAACTTTCCTATGCTCAGCTCTGTCGGTAATATAAGAATGTAAGGGTTACTAATCTATAAAAAGCTAGTGTTTTCATTATAATTATCCTGACTGTAGTTACTTTTGTATTTTTTGCTTTAACTACTGCATTTACTTATGCTAAACACGTAAAGTTGAATAGAGAGCACTTAAAATAAAGCATACCTTTTTCAGTTTAAATTCATTTCCAACAGGTGTTTGATAAGAGTCTTACAGGATTATTTAATTTAAATGATAATTAAAGATTTACTTATCTAACACTTTAATTTTTTCATTAATATATGAAATTATTGTAGTACCTTATTAGCCTCGTACCTTAGTTATATGCATTAAAAATCCTAATACTGTTAAGTGAACTAACTTCTTTCTTATGTTAACAATTTTTGTAAATTATTTTTTCTTTTCTTGCAGCAAGGAGCAAATAACGCAGAAAAATTTGACTACGTAAGTTAATGTTACAACATTCCTTTTTTAACTAAATTCAGTGGTAAAAGTCTCAAGATGGCAAGGGAATTGCAAGTGAAATTTTAGTAATTTCAAAGGTTTTGTCTTTGTATCTGTACTTGGTTGTTTAAACACTTAGTGATTTGGATTGCATTCGTAAAATGGTGTTACAAGGTTTAGGGTAAGGCTGAATTGAGAGTTCATCAGTTACAACTTTTTAATGTTTGAAAATGTTAGCATGCTTTTCCCCCCCTCCTCTCTGTCTCTAACAGGTGATGCAATTCATGAATAAAATGGCTGGTAATGAGTATGTTGGATTCAGTAATGCTACGTAAGTATTTTTTATTTACTTATTGAAGTTAGGTGGAAAATGCCTCAACTGGTAGTTGGCATATTAAGCTTATGGCAAAGTTTAGTTATTTACATTGAAACCATCATTTCATCCCTAATATTAGAGGATGTCTTTGGCATAACATTTATAAGAACTAAAGTTGTGCATGTCTCTGACATCAGTGTGGCTAAATACCACATAAAAGTGTTGATTACCTCTTTGAAATTTCATTATTCTGTCTTAAGTGCTCTGTTGGTGCTATGGCAGTGAGAGCTGTAAATGCAACTCTCATCTTCCTGGCATTCATATTAAAAATTAAACTCTGCATGTATCGGCTGCGTATCAAATGTTTAGAAAGCAATACTTCATACAATTGGGACTCTTTATGCTTTTTTATTTTGCATATTTAAATTCTGTTCTAAAACAATTCCCCCCATTAACTAAATGTATAGCATTCCAAAAATCTTGAGAGCTTTTTGAGGCAGCACTGGGAAAATCATAGATTCCATATAGCAGTGTTGCTTCCAGGTTGCTAGTTGGCATGCATGTGCAGAGAAGCAGAATGAGGTAACTAGTGTTTTTCCTGAGCTTTGTTAATGTGCAAGTGTTTACCATGGAAGGAACCAGACAGGAGAGAATTACCTACCTTTGTATCCATACAGAGTCTTCCTTTAGGTTTCATCCTGAACTTAATCATCACGATAAAGAGTGCAGCCATCACAGCCTGGTTGCTATTTGGTCTGCAACTTGATCCTCAGATTCCTCTCTAGTTTGGTCAGTGTTGTCAGAGAATGATCCTTTCACTACAGCTCCTTGTGGGATATTTCATTCCACTATGGCCTTTTTAGGAACGCTTCTAAGAGCAGGATCTCACACTTCTTTGCCTTACTCCAAGTCAGCTTATGTATGTAGGTAACCAGTACTGTGTGTATTCAGATGTCAGAGCTAACTCACTCCAACTGGGTGTACTGGGGTGAGCTGCTATGGCAATTGCTGTCCTATTAGTAGAATGTTTGTGTTCAGAAGTAATGTATCCTTTACGTGCAGTTTTATTGAATTACATTATGCATCTCTGAAGCTCCGCATTTCTTGAAAGTTTGACATGTTGTCCTGTCTTTTTTTTTTTTTTTTTTTTAAATTTTATTTTAAGGTTCCAGTCCGAAAGAGAGAGTGGAGATAGAAACTTTGCAATCGGTTATTACTTGAAAGAAAAGAAGGTAGATCTCTTTTTTTATTGTATTTTGAAGGCTGTGTGGAGGGGGTTTTTTCATAGTCTGTGAAGATTTTTAATTTATTTAATGTACAGTATGGCATAAATTACTCTAATACTGTATATGTTTTCATACTGTTACTCAAAGTGCTGTCATTTAAAGTGATACTTACGTCATTCTAATAGAATACCTTTAATCTTTTTTCTGTATCATAGCCATGATAATTTGTTTTATTTGTCCTAAAATGCATAATCTGTGCTGTACAGATGACTTCATAAAACTCCTAGATGCATTTTGCAGTTTGCTGATTTGAAGATATTGAAAGCTGTACTGAAAAATATTTTAATGCCTAGCTTGTTGACCTCACTGCACTGTGTTATTTTTAAATCTGACGTGATTTAATATTTCTACTTGTTACATTTAAATAAATACTTAATTTTAAAACTGCCTAATGCTTAATATGCTGACAAGAATATAGCTTAATTTATGTCTCTCTAGCAGCGATATTTTTAAAAAATAATCATAATTTTACTTAAAGATTCTCTTTATTTTTCTTCCTCAGTGCTTTCCTGAAGGCACGGATATGGTTGCTATACTAGACTTCTATTTTCAGGTAACTGACTTTAAAATTGAGACTCATTATAGACTTAGGATTACTATTATAAGCAGTAGAAGCTGATTTGTTCATAGGTGTGAAGGCTTTAATGGCTTATAGTTAAACTTGTCAGCTTCTGTTAAAGTGTGTTTGGAAATGAATGATGTACATTTGATGTATCCAGATTTGCTTTTGTTTAGGTGATGTACTTAAGTGTCTTTATTGCTAATACAAACTAGCACTGGTCTTTAAAACACTAGTAGTTAGAAGCTTAAAATGTCTTGTATTACTTCAGTGAGTTTGACAAAATATTTCTGCTTCTTTGGTTTGCTGCTCTTTATTGTACTGTGAAGTACTTTAAACTCCGTGTGTAACTAAAATAGCATATGCATGCTCTATTGTAAGCTCAAGGGTAGTGTTACAAATGAAATAATATGAATATCTCCTCCTTTTTGTTTAATCCAATGCTTATGACTAAAACAAAGAATCTAGTCATATATTCTCCCCTCCCCCATTTTTTTTTTCTTTTTCACTTTTCGCAAGTTATTTGCAACTGTCACAAAATGAGAACTTGGCAAGTGTGAGGTATTTCCTCAGTAAGGGTTTCCTAATGTTAAAACGTTCACGACTCAGCTCTGCTGCGTGTACTTCTCAAGAGGCAGTTCAAGTTGTGTTACTGATTCAGTCTATCTGGGATAGTTTAAAAAAAAATCCGGAGTTTAGTTCTCAAAATGAATCTGTTTTTGATTCATGAGACTTGCTTTTACTTATGCAAATTTAAAATTTTTTAAATGCAAATTTATATCTGAGTTTTTTGTATTGGAATGCACCTGCTCAAATCTTTAAATCAAATGACTGTTTATGAAGATATATGTGATTAGCCTTAGGTGACCTCTTGTTGAGTTGGAAACTAGGTACAAGCTAATAGTCTACTCTGAACTTCTGTTACTACAGAACAAAACTGATAATTTATTTGAATTTACTGTTTAAACATGCTTTTTAAATGCTTCCTATCCCACTGCCTCAAGACCTGATAAGCTTCTGAATGCAAAGCTATTCATAGGCTAAGAAATGCCAAAACTAACTTTTCTGATGTATTTTAATTTGGCCTCATTTTCGTGCATTATGATCTCTAATTTCATGACTACGTGTCATTCTTTTTTTCTGTTGCAAAATCCCCTTTTCACTCCATACTCAGAAAAAGGGCAGCTCATACACGAGCGGCAATTCTGTTTTCTTTTCTTCTCACTGTACAAAGCTTACTTTCCAATGCTCTACTCAGATTCTACTTAAAAGGCTAGTTATTTCTTTTCTTTGGGTTTTCTGTAATGCTCCTTCCTCCCTTGTGTAATTGGGAACCTTCTGAGCAGGAATAAACTTATTTTCCTATTGTCTCTGTAAAGTGAGGATGGATTATTCTCATTTTAGAGAACCGAGGTACAAAATGCAGGTGCTTAAACTGAGAACCTAGAAACACTTTTTTCAAAGTAGGTGATATTATGTAATACTTCATATGTTTAAAACACAGTTGCCATTTTAGATGCGTCTCTGACAATCTCTTGATTTGCAACTCCAGTTGATTGGACTAGGATGTATTGAGTTTGGCACCCGGAAAATAAGAATTCCAGGTAGTAACTACTCATGCAAACTTGGCTTAGGTAACTTCATGAAGTATCATGTAATAACTGTTTGGCAAAAGCAAGAATACAAGCACTAGTTTGTTTACTTTTCAGAGTAGCATTTCAGCTTCAGGTTGAAACCAGCTTATCTTTTGGTTTCTGCAGAAATGAGGCAGCATCAGGTGATGGCATCATATCACATTTCCTGATGTGTCACCAAAGTATGTATAGTCTGTACTGAAGCAGGGATCCTGGGAGAAACTATCGTGTGGTCGTATCATTAATATATCAAAAAGCATATATGAGAGAAAGGTGAAATAAGGCTGCATCAAAAGGAAGTGCTGGCATTAAGACTTGCATGTGCTAGAGTTTGCAGCTTTAAAATGTACTTTTAATAGATGTGTGTGGTCTTCTAAGGCTTAAAAAAAAGCCACACAACACAAACTCAAATTGAAAAAAACAGTCATTCTGTGGCTTTGCCATTTAAGCAGATGCAAAATACTGAGATTTGTTTTCCAGACCTCTTCCTCTCAAAGGAACATAAGGGGGGGCGCGGGGAGGAATCAAGTGGAGACACTAACCCATGTAAAATGCTATCCCAAACTATTAAGAGGGCTTTCAAACACTGTTGCCTGGGGTCTTTATAGTAGGAAGATTCAGACTGTATTAATTGATGCTACTAGCGTCACCTGTAACAAATGTTATGCTACAGGTTATTTTATGAAATGTTATTTCTGTAGAGACATATTGTTGATCCTGCTATAGTTGGCCTTATTGTGCTAGAAGTATCAGTTCTTATAATCTCAATTTCTTTTTCATAAGCTTTGCTCAATAGAAGTAACGTGTGAATCGGCAAGTGTGATGGCAGCAACTCTGGCTAATGGTGGCTTTTGCCCAATCACTGGTGAAAGAGTACTGAGTCCCGAAGCAGTCCGGAATACCTTGAGTTTAATGCATTCCTGTGGCATGTATGACTTTTCAGGGCAGTTTGCCTTCCATGTAAGTAGTTTTCAGTTATTAGTTAGAGCTGACCAGTAAGATTAACCTGTGCTATTGTTTTCCATGTTCCAGGGCTTGCTTGCTTGCTTCTGGGGGAGGGAAGGGGGTGTTACATGAATTGTTTAGAAATTGAGCACACCATATGGGAAAATCTCATCTAGAATTCATGGTGCTACTAGTACACCATACCTTGTAGTACTTACTATTCTCTGCCACTTCACATTTGGGAATCCTTTTCATGTTGAAACATAAATACTGTCCCTTAAGAAAGGCTGTACTGCATCTTATTTGTGTTTTCAGCATCTTGTTTTGAATGTTTTTAGTTTTTCCTAATTGCATACATGTAAAATTGATTATGATGCTTTGTGTGACCTAAAAGTTATTGCTTACAGAGCATGACATGTTAGTTCCTGTTGGAAAAAAAACAATAGCTTTATCCAGATTGTAAATAAGTAGGTTATTGCATGACCTTATGGGCAGACTCTTCTGTTTGCCTGGGTTTTTGTTTTTTACCTTTTCCAGTCAAGGTTTTTTTTTAGGTATATATAGCTGTGTACTACTGCCATGTTGCAAACTGTTCACGACAGATACACTCATGTACTACTGCTTAGTCATAATTGCTTTTTTATAAGAGATTTGAATTACTTTTTTCACTGTATTACTGACTCTGTTTTACTGAGAGCAAATAACTTTATGATCGCGTACCTCGGATTGCCATGAATTGTGCTTCCAGGTTATTGACTATCTAGAAAGAGATAAGTAATAATGCTTTCCCAGCTTAAAATGCTTTCTACATTTTATAAATGTTGCATAATGTCTTCAGTAAAATGCTAATGCATTGTGTTACAACAGTGAAGCATGTTTGCAGAGGATGGTAATTCTCTGATTATTCTATAGGTTGGTCTTCCTGCAAAATCTGGTGTTGCTGGTGGGATTCTTCTGGTTGTTCCTAATGTCATGGGCTTGATGTGCTGGTCACCTCCTTTGGACAAGATGGGCAACAGTGTTAAAGGAATTCACTTTTGTCATGTAAGCAGCATTGCCTTTAGTGGGGTTTTTTGTGTTTGGTTTTTTTTTTTCTTTTGCAGCTGATGTTTACTGAGCTTCAGTTAGTATAACTGAGATCTAAGTGAATTAAATAGTGATTCGTTACTCTTCCATACATAGCAAAGTTCATCTGATCCAAGGGTGGAAGTCTGAGGAGAGACTTTGCATTTTAGTAATAGATAACACTTTAATTCAGTGAGCTTTAAGAAAATATGCCAAAAACGCTGGAGAAATTTATTGTGGAAAAGCTTTGAAAATGAACACTTCATGAAGTAATGAAAGAGCTGGTCTCTCGTATACTGCATTAGAAGCTGTAGAGCTCTATTTATAGACTTCTTTTCCTCTCCAGTCATAAAGTAAACAATTTTCAAAACATTGGAAATGCAAGTCTCGTTTCATTACAATAAAAGACAAAGATTCTAATTAAATATTGCTGTTCTGATGTATTTTTTACACGAATTTTTGTAAACAATCTGACATAGAACATGTCTTCATAGATCAGACTCAGGTGTTGGGAAGCTCTTCCTAGCTTCATCTCTTGCTTTTGAAAGGGCTGTGGACAGCCTATTAATAGCAACAGAAGAAGGAGAGATTTTGTAGAGTACTTTGTAATGATTAATAAAGATGTTTTGTGGGAGAGGAGAATGTAAAAAATGTTGTCTTTCTTTTTTTTTCTTCCTAAAACCACCTTGTAATACTGATTAAGTAATTATAAATGGGGTGGGGGGGAAGTCTCAAAAAAGAGAATGGTAGGCCATCTACAGCCCCACAGGAAACCTAAGATTATTGGTAATGCTTTGGAAGTTGAAGGCATAACTAGGCTCTCTCCCCCGCTTTGTTTTTTAAAAGTAGTGATGACTGTTAAGCTGCAGTGATACTAGTTTGGATGGACTTCAGTTCCTAGGGTGAACACTCGTATGACTAGTCTTCACTTAGCTTATCAACAACAGCATGGGATTTGCAGTATGCAAGGGTTTAGTTCATGTGGATGAGCAGCAGTTAAAACTTTTCATACTTCTATTTATCTACCATCTGTACAGCTGCAAATTAAGAGTACTAAGAAGTTACTAATTCTAGTTTAAATACTTTAAAGTTTCATAGGAAATAGTCTTGTATTTGATAATTTAAATATAAAATCATAGAACACTAGGTAAGTGAAGGATTTACTGCATTTATTCTGTGTTATAGAGACCTAAAAACTGATAGATGATCATGGCATACGAGTAGCATGAATGTAACATTCACTTTTAAAAATACATCAACATAGCAAAGTTCTGTAATTATAACCTTTCATGTTGTAAGTCAAACTGAATTAAATCCATTATGTCACACTTTTTGTTGTTTCACCCTTTTGATTGAAGTTTTATGTACTAGACTAGCCCAGACTATTCTTCCTGTTCCTGAAGTGTTTCATACAGCTGGGGTAGAAATATATTAAAATAGATATTTTGCAAATTGCTACTTGTTTTGTACTTCTTTAAAAAGGAGTTTAAAGGTGTTATTAGAACTTCATCATATCATTGTATTATGTTCAAAGGGCCTTAAAGACATTGGTATTGATTTATTAAATAAGCTTCTCTTATTACTGGTTTAAGTTACTAGGATATGATGTAAAACATAAGTGGCAGTAGTATTATAATCTCATATGCATTTGACTATCATATGCAAATAATAATGTATGTTCACTAAATATTTGCAGGATCTGGTTTCTTTGTGCAATTTCCATAACTACGATAATTTGAGACACTTTGCAAAAAAGCTTGATCCTCGCAGAGAAGGTGGCGATCAGCGGGTAAGTTAATATGTGTGTTTAGTTAGTATTTCTTGTAGACATCAGAAGAAATACGGGAAGTTCTTCTCTAAATGCAAAACTGCTCAATGACATGTATTGCATCAAAGCTTTCAGAAAACTAGTTAGTTTACATTATTAGTGGACACTTACTTGGGTGGACCACACTATCACAGGGTTTTGTATAGTAGAATTTCATATTAGATTTGTAACTCCATTTCACGCAGTTCATATCCCTCACTAGAGTAAGTATATGGTATCTGATAAAAGTTGCAAAGAATTTTACTGTACTGATTGCCTTTAATAAAGATTTGACCAGCTGGTGGGCTTAGCCTTTCTGTTCTGGGCTGCAATGCATGAGATGTATGTTTAGCATTTTTTCACAGTGATGTGTCCGAGACCACATGACTTGCTGAGAGTTGCACAGGCAGTGAATTCAGGTGTTACAGTGCTGTAGACAAGTGCCTGTTACTAAGGAAGCGGTATGAGCAATCTCTGGGAATGAACTGAATCCACTACATGTACAAAAGATAGAAGTGTGAGGGTGCTTGAGATGAGGAAAACCTCTTTGCTTTTATTGCCATTGATGTTTTAACTGAAGCATGAAGATTTCAATAGGAGAAGATACAGTAGAATGATTTTTAAAGTGCTTCTATTTTGCATGTATACATCTAAAAAATACCCAATTTGGAATTTGAATTTTTTGTATCTGGAAAATAGAAAGTAACAGTTTATGTGAAGAGGTGAAAAACATGAGTCTGTTAGCATTGACTGCAAGTATGGATTTTTTTTCCTTCAAATACACTAATAAATAATGTATGTTGCTTGAACAACTAGCATTCCTTTGGACCAATGGACTATGAGAATCTCCAGCAAGAACTTGCTTTAAAAGAAACAGTATGGAAAAAAGTGTCACCTGAATCAAACGAGGACATCTCCAGAACCGTAGTGTATAGAATGGAAGGTCGGGGAGAGCAAAACTAAACAAATGGGTTCTAGCTTCATTAAATTCTTCATTTTAAAAACCCTCAAGCATCTCTAGATTTTAACTTTGATTTGAATATTGTTTGCCTGGTGTTTCATTTATATATACGTTTTGTGTAAATTCTGTATGCTATACCAAAAAGACTGTCAAAGTTCAAGGGGGGAAAAAGCACGTGCAAACAACAAAAACCAAAACTGTTAACTGACTTTTGTAGTTACTTAAAGCACATTTACTTTAAAAAAAAAAAAAAAAAAGAAAAAGGTAAATCTGAATGTTTTCAAAGATATACCACTTTTGTGTATATCTGTTTATTTTTGTTTATATCTGAGAATTTAAAGTAAATTAACTTTAGAGCTAATCAAGAACTTACGACGTGTCCTCTGATCAGGGTCAGCATGTAAAGAATTTTAATTAAAGTAAAATAGTGTCAGCAAAATACAGCAAATTCATGAATCTCTAGATAGTTGTATGTTAAGTGGAAATAGGTTCTGAGTCATGTTATTACTGTATTCTCTTTTTTTTTTTTTTAATATGAGCTTTCAAATTGCTTTGAACAGAAATGGATCCTTTGGATATACCATGCTAGTGAAGATTTTTTTTTTTTTTTTTGATCGGACCTTTAATAATTATTAATGCTAACATTTATATAAAAAGAGCAAAAATGGCTGGGGGGGGACTAGGAGAAGGGGGGGGGGAAACACTTGCCTGTTTGCAAGTTAACTAATGCAGCAGGAAGATTTCTTACCAAACTATTTTGAGTGTCTTGCTAGCTGCTTGTACTGCCAGCTGGTAGTCATGACTCAGAAGTCTGCCTTACTAATAATGCTGGGCTCCACCCTAGAGAGGAATGTAAGCAATCTTGGTTTTAGAGTGGTAACCGACTGAGTAGTGAGCAGGAAATACATTCAGAGCAAAGCAGATAGGTAGATACTATTAAAACTGTTTACAATTAACTTATTTTTCAACTGCTAATGTGTGTGCATGTTCATATATAAGATCAGAGGTTTCATTTATTTACACGAGCAAATTTTTTAAAAGTTATCATTAATTGCTGTTTTTTAAAATGATAGTGAGTTTGCACCTCTGTCAGCTTGCTAAGAAACAGGACTTGCATTCTTCTGCAGGCAACCGCATCTGTTCATCTGCAGAATTTGGTAATTTTGAGTATCTTGAGTAGAGTGTATCTTGAAATGGTGTATGTAAGCTTCGAATAGGCTCAGTAGGCAATGCTGGACAGAGGGCACAGACTTGCTAAATTCTTGACACTTGTAGCTATTAGATTCTTAATGATGCGAAAAATCTTAGAAAATTATTCTCTATTTTTATAAAGTTTTCCCCTTTAAAAGCTTGCAGATAATTTTATATATCCCACCCCCTGTACACATCATGCAGAATCCTGTTTGTAAAATTGTCAAAAACTTGTCCAAGAAATGATAAATGGTATTAGCTCATTGAGTATTGTAAGAAACAATGCCAGATAATTCCTTAGAAACACTTCCACCCCTTCTCCCTGCCCCCTCCCCCAGACCCTCTCCCGTTTTAGTTTATCTAAAACTCCAAAGTGCGTTCATATGTGAGTTTTGCATAAGGGGAGAGTTTGGTTTTTCCTGCTCCTTTTTTGACCCATCTGGATGTTTGTGAATTCAGGAAGATGCATAAAGCGAAGCTGATGTTCTCTGAGAAAGCGAGCTGTTCTTAATTACTCTGTTTAGGTATTGTTAGTTTTGCATAAACATTTGAAATAAGCTCTGACTAAACCCTGAATAATCTTCATCTAGCAATGTATTGTAAAAGGATGGGCTTCCTGTCTTTGAAGCCTAGGATTAAAATGTTTAAGCAATACAGAACATCAATTTCCAGTGGATTTGAAGTCCTACTGGGATGAAGAGGTAAATCTGTGGTGCACATGTCAGTAATAAATGTCAGTCATAAATTGCTGAATGATAGCTGTTTTATAATCTGCTCCCTGACGATGGGGTTAGGTTTGTCAGTGCTTATCTTGAAAATAAAGTAAAATAAGTAAAAGCAAAGTCTTGAATTATAAAAATCTCACCTGTTTGAGGATTGTACAGTAAACTAGTAGTTACAGAGATATAACAAATATTCAGATCCTGCAAAACTACATGTCTTTAACTGAAATACCCTCAATTACAAGAGGGAACATAATGTGTCTGTGCTGCTAATGAAAAGTATTTACAGTGATGACATATTGCTGGTTAAATTACTGATTTCATTAAAAAAGGAAAATGTACGATCCAGTATTTGCTTGATCTAATTCTACACACATTTTTAACTGATTTTTAGTACTATTTGGAGCTAATTCTAAGAACATGGTTAAAGATGGAAAATTGTTCCATCTGGGTTTCAACTTGAAAATAAAAATCTTTACCGTATTTCTGTTTGTCAGTTACATGCAAAACTTGTGGGAGAGGCAAGTCCTGCATGGGAAATACAAAATTAAGGAAACTACTAGATCTTTAATATGCATAAGAAGAATATTTAGGGTACAGCTTACACAATCTTTACTTTAGACATATATATATTACAGTTGTGTAATATATGCTTTTGAAGCCTGTCTCAGAATTTAAGCCAGCCTCTAGGTAGGAGGGGTCAGGAGGAGACTCCTTCAGACCGATTATTTTGTAACTTGCCGACACTCGCAGTTTCTTGTTCTGGCCTGCCATGTCTGCAGATGGCTCTCGTTCACGGCAGGGTACACAGATAGCTGGGACCGTAGCTAGGTCTGCCATGACGACTTACCCATGCCTGCATTATGTTTGGTGAGCGGGTCTGAAAGAATGCGGTGATAGAGGCTAGCCATTGAATGTTTGACGTCTGCAACGGTTTTAGTGTTCACCTGTGCTACAGCAATAGCAATTCTTGATATTCAAGCATTTTAGCTGTTTGTTTGTTTTTCTTTGTCAGCATCATTAACATTTCATTAGAAATGTAAATGCTTTTTAGAATTTTGTTTTAGCATTTGTGTTGTACTTTTTGGCTCAGTTGTTAAGCTACCTGTCTCGTTTTCCATTTTTCATTTGCATTGTATGTTATTTATGTATCTCGATTTCCAGCATGCTTATTTTTGTATTGTTTAATAAATTTATTTTAAGCTGATTTTTATTGTATTTTTTTCTCTCAATGGAGAACAGATTTGTTCAAACACGTTTTTGAGACTGAAATGAGATAGTGAGCACTCCATTCTAAAAAAGATAAGGTTCTGGAAAAGTAGGTGGAATAAGCAGATTTAGTTAAACCAGTCATTGAAAACCTTCCTAAGATTTCTTAAACATTTTGTACAATAATCTAATTATTTTTTTCTTTGAACTGTTATCTTAGAAAGTTGAAAGCAAAAATCAAAGTAGCAAAACTTTCTCACTGTGACTTTTCTAATAAAAATGTCATGGTGCAGTAGGATATTAACGTCACTGTGTATTTGTGTGGTTTTGAAGATACTGATTCAGTCACTTGGAAAATATGTGGTTAATGGTACCAGTGCCAGGGTAGTAACTGTTGATCTTGTGCGTTATGAAGTGAAAAATACAGCTTGTAATAAATCACACATAGCAAGGAAGGTGGTCCAAAACCCACATCCTTGTAGTAGCAGCAGTGGGGTCTGAACAACGGTTAGTTGAATCTGGGTTCCTGGCAAAGCACTTGCCCTTTGTCACAGGCTTTTTTTTTTTTTTTCCGTGAAAGTTTATTCGAGATACTAAATAGTAGATGTATTTATAATGTGATCATTCCGAGGCAAGATTTTGTCACTAGAGACATACCCATACTGATTATGATGGCCATAATCATTAATTTAGCTTTTCTGTAGATTGATTTATAACCTGCGGTTACTTCTACTATGTTTTTAAAATTAGCTGTATGTTCATTGTACATAAAATACCACATATTGGAAGAGTTTATTTAGAAAAGTCACGGAGACGAGAAAAGGTAGTAGAGTAGTAGATACAAAGAGACAACCGCGGGTGATTTACTGTAGAATTATTTTGGCTCTTACATTTTGGTTTTCATTGTGCATTTGTGTCAAAAGATCAGTGAAGAAAATGAATAAAAAGGCAATGGAGTCAGAAGAGGGTGAGCGGGAGGGGGGATAGAGTATGTTGTTTTTTCATTGTTCTTATTTCTCTTGGTCTTGATACATACATGTCATTGATGCACAGTAGTTAGCTGTGAGCAAAGTAGTTAATTATGAGCTTCATAATTTATGTATAATGTTTTAGTATCCTAAACATTGTTTGTAGGCTTTTAGTATTTTATTTTTTTAATTTTGTTTAAATATTTCTGTGGTTTTCTGGTGGGAGTTCAGAAGCAGTTATTCCAGTGGAAGAAGAATAGACTTTTTTCGGCGGAGTTCTTACTGGGATGACTAAATACACCTAATAATTTGTCTTTAGTGCAGAGTCTCTTTGGGGAATCTGAATATCACAAATGTCTATAGTAGTTGCAGGGATGGCAAGAGGCTTTGAATCAGGTAGCAATCTAACTAAAACTTAATTATTTTTTTCATCATGCTAGTATCTTTTCTGTTCCACACTTGTCCTGTCTAGAAAATGCATGACACACACACAATGTAGTGTGTGTGATGACGTGCTTTTAAAGGATGGGTCATGCGCAGCCCCATTTTCTTTCAGGAAGTTATGCCCTGGTATGTTGAAGAGTTTGTTGCAGTCTAAATTATTAAACTACCTACTTTGAATCAAGTGTGGTTTCCAATTTACCATTTGCTCCTTCTAGAGAATACTGTGTGCAAAATAGAAATGTCCTGTTACCTTTTGCTTTTCATGCAAGTAGAAGTTAATTTTATTATTGGCTTCTAACACTGCTTTATACAGACTTTTGATTATCACTTGAACACTTTGCATTTAAAAGTTTTTGCAAGACTTAAGTGGCGCAGCTCTGCACATAGTTACCCCTAAAAATGCATGTGCATTTCTTGTGTGCGTAGCAGCCCTTAGCTAATGGTTACATCTGAAGCTGCAGTTTAACT